TGTTATTTGGGACTAAAAATGTGACAAGAGTGCTGACAACCTTCCAAAGGGCCTTCTGGTATTTTAGTATTGTACTACCTTTGCTAAGATTTATCCCCTAATATTTTTATTTCAGTAACATGCTACAAATAGGTGCTGAGTGTGATGACAGTTCACAAAGTATTTACTAAATTTAAGGAAGGAGCACCCATGCTTTTCAACTATCTGGATTTGAGAAGTTTCAACTATATGTCTTTTTGAGAAGTTGAACAAAGTCAACATTGCACCTGGATAATTTTTTGTTGTTGTTGTTGTTAAATCACACTTGCTGGCTTGCAAGCTACTAGGAAAATACTTTCTTTTCATTGAGGGGGAAGAAAAAAAAAAAAAAAAAAAAAAAAAGGAACTTTATATTTACCACAGTAGGGGCTGGTTTCAGACCAGTGGGGTGAGCTAGAGCTGTGCATGTTGCCCTGGACTGTCCCCCGTCTACACACATGATCACAGCACTAGAGGCAGAATGACTCCTTGAAAGCCAACAGCTCTCCACCTGCTGCTCAATTTGACAGGGCTGCAAGCTCAGGAAATAGCCCATTTACTAACCTTGGCTTCTCTGCACCTAATGTTCAGCTCAGGCAGCCAAGTCACTGAAGCCCTAACAGCAGTATTTATCCTTTTGGCAAGTGAGGAGACATGGAGAAAACAGAGAGGAAAAGACAGAAGACACCCTAGAAGAGGAGCAAAGAAAGCCACACAGACAAATAAAAGGGTGTAGAGCATATTTTGCAGAAGGCAGAAGCTCCCACATCCATTAGGACTTGCTGTCTAAGCAACAAGAGCTCCTGGCAGACACAACTGAGTTCTCTGAAAAAATGTTTGTTTTAATAAAGGACAGGGAGAGAAAAAATAAAAGGTGAAAAGGAAGATAGACATCAAAAGAACTGGAGCTATGTAAAAACAGGAGGCAAGGGTAGAGGCCATTTGTCTTTCCTATCTATGGAAACGCAAGCCAAAGGAACAGCAATAGTGAAGGGCAGCTGAGGACATTTGCTCCTTACAGACCTCCAGGAGAGTTCCTCCAGCAGAAACAGCTGCCTCTCCCCAGGAGCCCATAGACAGCCCAACAGGCAGACTGGACAGCCACTGGAGTACACAACGAGGTACTGCTGTCTCCAAGATGCTGCACTTGCCAAACACGTTTTGATGGAAGCCATCTCATCCCAGACTTGTTACTAATGTGAACAGTTTGGGGATTTCTCTTGAATTCAGGTGAAATAAAGACATAAAAAAACCACACACACCCTAACAGATCATCCTAACTGATGGATGTCTCTCATTTCCTACATATTAAAGAACAAATCATAAAACTTTGTATTTACCAGCTTGGACTTGCAACCAGCTTTCACTTCATATCCATTTGAACACAAGGAGTAGGTCCCTCCAAAGTCTCACCTGAGCAGAACGACGCTCACAAATGCCACTCTTGCTCAGAGTCCCAAACACTTCCCACGGGAACACTGCTGTACCCCAGCAACAGGGCAAGATCAAGCCTGCAATTACATGAACATGCAAAGGACAGAGGAGGCTGCCATTCCAGTACCAGCAGTTTCTAGTTAACCCCGTGTTCCAAAATGTATTGCTGTTCCAAGCTAAAAACATAAACAATGGCAGCAAAGGTAAAAATGCTCATAAAAAGCATGCCTCTCCACTGTTAATCAGTGGCCTATTAGTTCATTTTTGGAAACTATGAGAAATAATGCCCTCCCCTTTGCAGCATGACAAAAGAGTTAGAAAACGTGGGGAGAAGCTTTTGTATCTGCTGATTAAGCAAAAGAAAACTTTTTTCAAGCTGCCCTTCTGACTCCAGTGTATCAACAGTTTGTCCCCCCTGCCCCATGACTACATCTGACACCACTGCCCTGGCTTATATCACGAGTTGAAAAGTGCTAGTCGAACTCCACGATAAACTTGTCAATAGCGAGGCACAGCCATTTGCATTCTTCCCTACCTGCTTGTGAGTGTTTGTCTGAGAGCAGTCCCTTGAAAAGCTTTTACAGAGGGAGAAAAGGAAAGGGGGATGCAGAGGGCATTTCAAACAGGAAAAAAAAATGAGGAGGGGAACCCCACAAAGACTGCAAAGAGAAAATAAATAAAAAACCCCTGTCCCCATCAGGTCCTCCCAACAACCTTCTTTATCAGAGGTTCATTGTCAATCAATTAGCCAAGGCAGCAGGGGTCTGTAGGAAGGGGGGTAGCTTGAGAGACAATGGTCTGCCCTGTTGTATTACTATTTAATCACTTTTCCTAAATAAATAAAGCAGCCCTGAGGTGCTGTCATGTCAAGGGAATTTATAACAATAAAACCCTTCATTTTTCATTGGTCATTACTTTTCCTTCCCTCCCACCCCTGCAGGACTAGAGAGGGTTATTACTGTAGCCTTAAGTTCCATCTTTGTGTTGCTTGCCTTTGATTCCCACTCGGACCTCGCCACTTTCTGGCACTAATTTGTCAGGCCGAACAAAGGAGGGATTTGTACCTCCTGTAAGGTCTCAATTAGGAAAGGCTTCTGCTGTATTATGTGCCATTGGGACAGGACACAAAGACGGTAATTACAGGAATTTGCACTAAATGGCTGAAGAATTCAGAGCAAAACTTTTCTTCCTCCCCCTTCCTCATCCTTTTCCAAGCTTACCCCTCCCAGTAGCCCTGGGGAAAACTGCTCTCAATGCCTGCAAGCTGTAATTACCAACAGCAGGCCCCTCAGGTTAAACAGCAGCCCATGCCGGGGAGCAGCGCAAACCGCCTGCAGGGCGCAAGGTACTAGAAGACTCCGCTTGCTGATGTGCCTCCAAAGTCTCCTCAGCACAAACTTTTATGAGCCAGAAATGTTTCTCCTGTTTCTCCCAGTTATAATTACAATCTCTTTAAGCTGTGGTAACTGCTACAAGTTCCAGCTGACTCTCAAAGACCAGCTCTAAGGGTCTCATGCAGGCAGGAAGGGGTCTGCTCCTACAGCAAGTGCTGTGCATCCTCATCCTCGGGTACAGGGAATCCCAGCCGCCAGCTTCTCACAGATTCTCCACAACTCACATTTGTCTGCACAAGTGTTTGTTCTGTGTTGCAGACTAAAGGGAGACCACAGGAGCACTGGGAGTGTTTCACCTCTATCAGGAAAAAACTCCAGGCAACCCTGACACGGTCAGAGCACCTTGTTTCTGTGGTGAATATCCGAGTGAGTGCATTTGAATCGTCCTATGTTTGGGAGAGGAAATCCACCCTTTTTCACAGAAAAGTCTGCTCCCATACTACGTAGCGCAAGACTAAAACCTATTTCACACTGGAGACATGCCTTTTGTTACCATCCCAGGGCCTGATCCTGGTTTTGAGGAAGTAACTGGAAATGCTCACTAGAAACTCTCCTGGACATCAGTCACAGGATGAAGCAAAATTACAAAATTTTCCTCTACTGAGCTTTTAATCAAAAGGAATGAGGAGAAAGGAATGAAGTTTTAATGTCATCTGGGACATTAACTTAAAATGAGGCTGTAAATTTTGCTGTCTTCTTGAGTTTCACAAGGCTGTCTACTGGGTAGGGATCCATCTTGGGGATACTTATTTGACCCATTCCCAGAGTCTCCCTGCAGTTCTCACTATCACAACTACCCTTAAAGGTCGGACATGACCATTGTCCAACAGTGTCCAGGTAATCAGAGTTATCATAGGACCCAAGGCACCTTCATTTTCAGTAGCAGTTTGGCACATAATTACTCCCAGGAAAAACTGATGTGAAGTCACACAAAGAGTTTGTGGCCAAGAAGAGAACTGAATTCAGATAGAAGGCCAAATATTGTGACCAAATCATTAACTGCAGTGCAGGCAACCTTCACGATGCTCCAGCTGGTGCCATGCTGTCCACCACTCCAGGTGGGTGCCATGCACTGTGGAGGCATGAGCAAAAACACCACTTGCAGGCAACTACCAGAAAGGGATGAACCCAGCTGCACACACAGGCAGTTCTGAGGGCGCCCCAGTACTTCTGGGGTTCAGGTCTCCCCTGGAAGGGATTCAGGCTAGCCTACATGTCTCAAGTCCACACAGACTCCCCCAGAGCCATGTGTGGTTCCAGAGCAACATGAGACCTCCATATCGGACCCCCACCCCAGAGCAGAGTGGGGAGAAGGCAGAACCCTCACAACTCCCATAATAAAAGAGGAAAACCCTCCAGAAAAGCTGCTTCTGATAGAGCCGACAATTTCTAAGCGAATGTGTCTAAAACCAGTCAGAAGGGTGTAATTTAGGCACGGTGCCCAAATTTGCCTCACAAAGGTGCTCCTGCTAAAGTAAAAGGACAATGAATTACACTTACATGGGTCCTCCATTTTCACTTCATTCCCAAGGGATAAAATCACTTGCCTAGGACTAGAGTCAGCAGCCAAATGAACTGAAATTTACAGTTAGATGCAGAGGCTTAAGGTCATGTTTTCACCCCTGCCGCAAGGAAGAACCAAGCAGATGAGCTCATGTCTGAACCCCAATGCTAGAACACACATCGCCAAACAACGGTGTTTCAGGGAAGCATATATGCTTTGAGGAATCTTCCCAGAAGGCCCCGAGCTGCAACTGAGTTCCAAAAACAACCTGAAGGAAACACAGTAACAAAAGGAAACAAAATGCTCCAAGTTGCATCATATTCAGAATTCCCTTTGATTCTGGACCGCTTTTCCAGTGCCCTGAACCAAGAAAACAGCTCAGCCACCCTGTAAGGCAGCCCTGACCTATGTAGTGCTGTATGTGCAGGATCTAATATTTCGGCACTGCTCATCAAATGCAGGTGAATCCCTGTGAATATCCCACAGGCTTTTCTCCACATTTTGCAGAGAAAGGCTACACACCAAAGTGTCAACAGCCATAGTGAGAGGCAGGGAATGGCTGTGTGCTGCTAAAACACATACATGCTCTTCCAAGTGATCTTTTCCTGCAGAAGGGGAGTGGGTGCAGATGCTGCAGCATGGTTGCTTACCTGCACACTTAAAGCTCTGAACTGTGAGCCCTCTCTCTAGGGACAGGGTGGTCAGGATGCTCAGGAAACTGGTGGTCACAGACTGGCGCTTGCTTTTTCTAACATTGTTTCCAAATGGCCAATCTCCAGGTTTGTTCCTGAGCGTGACCTGTGGATTCTGAGTTAAACTTCTAGTAGCATTGGCTGCTGCTCTCAGTGCCTCCATCCACTCCTGGGCCCTCTGACGGGTCTCTGCACGCAGGCGGAGAACATCTTGAGGAAAGATGACCTGAAAGCAAGAGTCACAGCCATCCTGAGTATCTGTCTGGACTGACAGGCACACATCGACATTGTAGCTCAGCAGAGGATCTTCATCAAGCCTACCCGGTTGGAATGCCATCAGATAAGACCTGTTCAAGACAAAAGTAAAGGCTTTCCAGTTATTCTGGATGGTTAACCTATACAGAGTCCCTGATTTGAGGATATTTTGGTACTCTTTAGTGTTTTCAGTCAAATTCATGGATAGGAAGAGGTCCACAGGCTTCTCTAACAATCCATTCGTTTGAGAAAGCTCACTGTTATTTTCAAGCTTTGGCACATTCTCCAGTTTCTCCTGCTGTCTTGTGAAAGCAGGCACAGAAGCACGTACCACTTCCCAGAGTTTCTGTCCCCAGTCCAAAGCCTCCCATGAGGACTCTGCCTTCAGCTGTAGCTGCGAGTTGTCTGACAGGACAGCATCCACCACCTTGGTTTCAATGCAGCCAGTAACAGTGACCCTTTGAAAATGCATGAGTGGATACACAGTGGGAAGGGTCTGGTTGCCACTGCTGTCCAAGCAATACAGGTACAGTTTGTATGGGGAGAGCTCAGCGTAACAGGTTTGCCAGTGACTCTCATTGTCTCTTCTAATTTCTAAGTATCCCTTCTTCAGAATATTTGGGAACATTGGCTTGTGTTCTGGAGAAAACAAAAGGAGAATATAACCATTAATTATTTTTAAATAATAATTTCAAACTGCTACGTCATTCTGGCTTATACATCTCTTCTACCTATACACGATATATCTGGAGGACAGGATCACAGAAATCGCCTTCAGCTAATAGGTTATAATTATAAAATGTAATCACTGACTCTAAATTTGAGCCTATGAGAATACAGCACCTTTTTACCCAGACATACCAAAACCCTTTATAAAAAGGGGACAGGAAAACAGAGGTACAAAGAAACAATGCCATTTTCCTGAGATTATTCACAATAGTGACAGAGCAATGAAACACTGAAGCTCTCCCAGAACCTAGTCCAGAAGAGTATAGTATTACCAGCTAATCTATTGCCAATCAAAATACATTCTAATAGTGAGAAACACATACAAATTAAAACAGCACCTTCCCCTCCCGCCCTGCTCTTTCCCAGGCTCAACTTTGTGCTTTCACACCCAACTCCTCTACCTGCCCCCTGTCCCAAGCAGCGGAGAGAGAAGGGGAATGACAGGTTGTGTTAAGTTCCTCTCTGCTGCTTCTTCCTCCACACACTTTTCCCCTGTTCCAGCATGGGTCCTCTCCAGGACCTGCAGTCCTTCAGTATAAACCCTGCTCCTGCATGAGCTCGCCAAGGCCACAGTTTCTTCAGGAAATCACCTTCTCCAGCATGGCGTCCCACATGGGACTGCAGGGAGACACCTGCTCCACCACGGTCTCCCTAGGAGCTGCAGGGGAATCCCTGGCCTGGTAGCTGCAGCACCCTCTCCTCCTCTGTCTCTGGGCCACACCTGGCAGTTCTTCCCTCACTCCTCACAGCGCCATGCAGTGCTTTGCCCTTTCTGAAATGCACTGTGGCTGCCAGGCACAGCTATGTCCCACAGCAGGGCCACTGGAACCGGCTGAAAATGGCCAGAACCACCCTGCTGCCAGCACCCAGGCACTGCACCTGGCACCTGGGCTTACCCACGTCATGGGGATGGAGATCTGTGCCCAATGACAGCAGCTTCTTACCACATTTCAGCATAAGCCGGGACCGGATCACTTTGCACAGCTCCTTTTATTAGAAAGTAGCTTTGCTGGTTTATGAAAATCAGGCTCAGGAACAACAGATGTGACCAAAAATGAGAAGTAAGAGGCTGCCCAGACTCAAACACCTAAGCACTCTGGGTGCTTCAGAGCAGAACCTTTTACAAACCTTGGTCCAAGGCGAAGTTGAGGAGAATTTTCTTCATCCCCAGAAAAGCAGCCATACCCAAGTCACTCCAGGCACCAAAGTGATATGCATTTAAAAGGAATTATCTAAAGCATTTCTAAATTTTAAAAAAGGTTTACATGAAAAATTTGTTCCAATCTGATAATCACCACTTCAGCTACCATTAATACATGCAAACATTGTATTTTCACCTTGGGCTGGACATGTGGCTCTATGCAATTTTTATTGGTTGCTCTATGAATTCAGTGGCATTCACTGTTACGCTCTAACACCGACTTTAGTACTTGACACCCCAAAACAACACAGCCCTGAGGAACAACTTCTTGCTCCCATCTGACTTCTACTTTGCCATTCCAGTAACAGTACCTGTGATGGGTCTTAATTTACAAACAGCACCAGAATTAACAGACATAAGAGGTTTCTGCCTCCAGTTGTCCATCCCCCTTGGAGACTGCTACTCCCAACGCAGGAGCAAGGCAGCCACCTGGGAACAGCTCCTCATCCACTGCCCCACACAGTTAGGTCAAAACAAAATCATCATCAGTTGGACCTTACCACATATCCCTTACAAACCACAGCAATACAGGAGAGCTTCTTCACCCTGTGACTTCTGCCCTCAGGCTGACAACCTTTAACAGAGGGATGGCAGACAGCAGGAGGTGCAAAATACTTTCAGCGTCTCAGCTTAACCAGTTATACTCATGTTAACAGGCCATGCTTTAACAAGTTTTAGATATGATGACCTCCAAGTACACCTAGGGTGTCTTCAACGGAAAGTTAACAGAAGCATATGGGCTTGACAGGGCTTGGAAACAAAGAGCTAAAGTTGATCCTGTATACAAATTACTGCATCCCCATCTGTACGGGGCTTCCCAGCTAATATGGCCAGGATTTCTGCCAAGCTGCTCTCGGGACTGCTGGCTAATGGGTGAGCCTGTCTGTCCTCCCAGGGGCACAAGGAGAGTCAGGGACTATGAGTATTTGAGGGACTTAGTTACTGTCCAAGGGGCTCCTAATAGCAACTGGTGAGGAAGCAGAACTTGGGCTGTAACCTACAGTCTAAAGAGATGCTCCTGTCCTTGTCTGAAAGCATCGCTGTAGTCGGCTGAGAGAGTTTCATGTATGGGCAGGAGGAGGATTCAGGACAGCAACAGTATAAAAGCTTTGGCTAGCTCTTCAGTGAAGACCAACTTTAAGGATTTATAAGGCTTAAGTAGACAAATTTCAGCTAAACTTAATGAACACACATAAGAATTAATTGTTTGGTATATTAAATGTGAGTACGCAAACCTCATGGGACATTAAAAAATGAGGGAAGGATGCTACTGCCCATCCACATTAACAAAAAGGATGCACTTTGGTCTCGCCTTATCAGCTCAGCCTCAACTTCCCCACATCACCCACCTACTCAGAATGGAGCCTGCATTTAACACCATGTTCAAAGCACTCTACACTTTACCTACAAAGATTGCCTGCATATATGGCTAAAAGCATAACAACAATTTAAAAATTGCTACTTTGGCACTAGGTCTGAAAAGGTGGGAAAGAAATCAATATAACTATACCTTGCAGACAAATAAGCTACTCGAGAGTATTTCAGCTAAATATGAAAACCGAAAGCCTAATCTAAAACTCAAAATGGTAGAGAAAAAGCACACTTTCATAGCCCAAATGGATAGATACACGCGCACACACACTAAAAGAGAACCAATTTAGTTCACCGTACATCTCTGGCCCTGACATTCATTAGTATTTCTGCACTAACTCAAAAGCCATTAATTTCTCTGACACCCACACTAATCCCTTTGTAGTGCAGATAATGGGCAGCCATTCTAGAGTCATCTTCCCTTTCTATTAATCCAATCAGGGAGGCAGTGCTTCTGCAGCTCCAACTGCAATCTCTCTCCCTTCCATCAAGTACAGATGACAGTTCAAGCTTCTCCATAATAAGACAACTCATAACCTTCCCCCAGCCACCCCTCCTTCATCTGCACACAGGTTTGCTTGTCTTTTGTTGAGTTAGAGAAAGGCTATCTCTCCCTGCCTTTCATAGAGGCATCCCTCTCTCCCTCCTTCACCCCACTCCTTCCCTTCAAGCTCCTGTGAATCGGCTCCACTGGCTCTCGCTCTAACTGGGACAGAACCAGTGGCCAATTTGATTAAAATTCTAATGCCTTATATTGTTTAGGTCAAGGCAGCAGATGCTGGCACAGACAGTTTGAATCCATATGCTACACATACACCTTACAAGCCCCTGCTCCTTTATCTTCTCGACGTGCAGTGTGCCAGATAATACCTTTCCACTCAGAGAGCAAATGCTACCATCTCTCCATCCACCTTCCAAATGGAAACTGCATCTCTTTTCCTCCCTACAGAGACAGGCAGAGTAAATTGAGGAAGAGTAAAAAAAGGAAAATAATCACAGTAAATGACCCATGCCTGAGTCATTTGGAGTTACAATTTCAAGGGAAGGGAAGAAGGCAGATGGAAATAAAGAGAGACTGAGCAGCTGGGGACAGGACAGTATCTTCCTCAGTGTTTCTCCTCTGCACCGAGAACACACCTACCCCTCTCCACACTTGGGGGCAGTTGGTGCAACCAACACTGCAGGAGAGGGAGTCCAAATGCTGTTTCAGCATGTCCAGAAAATATATAGTCCTGAACAACTGACTGTTCTTGTGTCCATGTTGGTATGACATGAAAATTTGCCCTGCTTTCTACCACCAAAACATTTCTGATGACAGTAATAGCAAGTAACTTGGAAAAGAGCAGAACAGAGATGCCTAATTTCTGAGGGGTTTGTCTCTTGAGGTGTCACTCTTCTCTAGATTCTCTAATGTTTAGTAAGAGATGAGCGTAAGTTACAGAACTTTTGTTGATACTCTTCCTCTTGAATTTCCATAGAGCCTAGAAGAAACCTTTGTCACCTAAAATGTTCTGAAATTGGGTTGGTCTAGTCACTGCTTGGTGGAATTTGCTAGATCAGGGACAAACTGTGCCTCAGCCAGTGTGACTCAGATCCACAATGTCCACTTCCCTCCTACTTAAAAATACAGTCCACCTACTTGCCCATCTGGCTCTGCAAGTATAACTCCTTCAGGCAAGTATATCTGATTCCACTTGGTCCTGAAATAATGGCATAGATATTTAGCCACAGATTTCCAGCAGCTGGCTGTCCTGAAGCCAAATCTGGCTTCTTCTCCCAGTGCCACCTCTTTTCAAGGGACCACTACAGCAATGGGACTTGTAACTAGGTGGCAGTTTGCATTAATTTATATAAAGAAACATTATTTCTCCCCACCAGAAGGGCATTCACCCTTTTTCATGTTCATTTGGCTCAGGGAAAGCAAAACCTGCTTTGAAAACGTTGAACTTGCAAACTCTTAATTTTAGATTTATGCATGGCTAGTGAGGTTGGCTTAGCTATTCACCAAAAATAAGCTCCTCACTGAATGAACTGCCTGAACAGAAGGATAAAAAACCTCAACAAATTATTCTTTATGTCTTTTCCTTCAGGTGTGGCATTGTATGAGAAACATATAAGAAACTATGCTGAAGTCCATAGGATCCTGGCTGCCCAGCCACTCCATCCAATCCTTTTTGCTCCTCTGCAGCAAACTGAACACTTGTACAGTGTTTGCTGAGCAGACACAGTGCCTGCGCCAAGGTGGCAATGGAGAAGGACCTTGGATTCAGTCAAAGTGCAAGACCAACCCAGAACAGGACTTAACTCTGGCTGAGATGGAAGTATAATGAGTCGAAAG